TATACTATGTGCATGTATAAATATGCCACAACAAATGCCACCTTTATGTGTATTAATAAAGCAACAATTAAACATAAATACATAACTAAATAGAAGCAAGACCAGTAGAGTACAGGAAGAGTAAAGGGAAGAGGAGGCAACAGGGACTAAAATGGAACAAATTAAATTTCATACATGTATATTTATGTCAAAATGAACCCAACGATTGAAAAATCATATATTAGGGAAATACAGTCACAGGCTTGAGAATAAAAAGAAAAGAAATGAGAGAAATATAGTATGATTCTTAGTATCATTAAGGACCACTTGAGATTAGTAATGAGACCAGTGACCTCTTAAAGCTTGAGACTTAGAATATATCCATTTTTATTTTCAAGTGGAATAGTACAAGAACCTCTAAAGCAAAAGAGGTTTCAGGAAAGAGAGATAGCAACATGTTTTTCTGCTGTCATTCAGATAACCAAATCAGAGTCTTTGTGTGTGGTATGTGTGTGTATGTGTGTGTGTGTGTGTGTGTATACTTTTATTAATTAATACTGTATTTCCCTAATTCACACCCTCAATACAACTTTTTAAAAGCACAATTTCATAATTTCAACTTTAGTCAAATTTTTAATATTTTCTCTCTCATTGTTATTCTTGATTCATGATATGTAATAGAACAGAACTTTCTGTTAGAAAAGAACAAGCCTCTATTACCATATTGATAAGAATTCTGAGATGCCCTAAATTAAGTCACAGGCCAGAGAATGAAGAGAAAAGAAATAATTCACAGAATCAAGCTAAATCAACAACAAAAACCTTTCTACATTCCTTTCCTTATGGTGAAGATTATCTATCAAGGCTACATTTCATTCTGCTTTAGGAACTATCCAACCATAAAGTAGTAAAAATTTCTCTTTTTAGATTATCATCCTATCCCAGGATTTTGCCTGCTTTATGTTGTCCTATCCTCAAATCTACAGCTAATATAGATTCAACATAAATAATTTTATGTCTCTTCTCCCAAAATTTTATTATAAAATACCTTGGCCCTAAGGTCCAGTATACTTTATTTTTTTTATTTATTTTTTTATTGGTTGTTCATTATTTTTTTATTGGTTGTTCAAAACATTACAAAGCTCTTGACTCCACACTGATGAAGGCTCGTTCTTGCACTTGAATTCTAGATCCTTGTAAAAACTGCTTATTAAAAGTACTTACTTTGATGTCAAATAGGCATCTGCAAGCACATATGTCCAAAACTGATCTCCTAATCCGTGTTCTGACAATTATACACAACTCTTCTTTTCTCTGCTATAATAAACTGCTACTCCATTCTCTCTGTTGCTCAGATGAAAAAATTTAGAGCCAAGCTTGATGACTTTCCAAACTATAGCCGAGCTGCCAAAATTGGTCACATCTCAGAAACATAACTAGATTGCTCAAACAGCATCCCCCCATCTCTTGTGCATTAATTTCTTCACATACAAATTTTTTTATTCTCAACTAGCTATTATTCCCACAAAGATAAAACCATTGCATTCACTGGCCAATGCAAATGTAAACTATTTCACCTCTAACTCAAGACATTTCTCAGACACTTTGGTATAACTTCTACTGTTAATCTATCTTTCTTTCAGTGTCTCTCCAGGGTCACAAGTCTACTTACCACAGAGAACAAAAACAGCCCAAGGTGCCTTTATTATTTTTACTTATTTCACAGCAACTAAAATAGTCTACAATGAGCACATTTCCCTCTGACTTTGCCTATGGTACACCACAAACTGAGTTTTTTCCCCTACTTCGCTCAACTTCATATACCTTGAAATTCCCTTTAGGAAATAGCTAACTAGGACATGGGCAACGTACTACTATTCTTTAGCAGTAAGTAATGAAATTACAAATGTTGGATCACCAAATTACTTAAATTGTTTCCAATAAGCCAATGTTGCAAGGCAATTACAATATGACCTCTAAAGATGGCAAACAGCACTATAAACTTTTCAGTGAAATGACAATGCATATTGCTATAATAGAAAGCAGGAAAGAAAAACTACTGGACAAGTGAAACCATTTTCATGACTGTTTTAGGAACCTTCATATATATTTTTTTTTTCGCTGTGTCCCTTTGACTGGATAACTGATAAGCAGTTTTAACTTTAATTTTGAAGCTTTTAAAATTGAGTTGCTTAGACCCAGAGGTTCTATAATATTCAGGCAAATGCCTAAAATCATTCTTTAAAGGAAAAATAATATAACAACACATACCCCTAGGAATTCTTCCTGTTCCTTGACAAGTGGGACAAGTGACACTATCTCTTCCTGTAAATTCCACATATGGAAACTGAGAGACATCTCCATTTCTTCCATCTTCATTATGGACTTCATTATTAACCAGTCCATTTCTCATGTTTTCAGTCGATGTGATTCCATCATAAGAATCTTCTTTACTTGTATGCAAAGGCAAATGAGAAAGAGACTTTCCCATGTCTAATGAAAAAGAAAAATCTTACAGTAAACCTCAGGGGGAAAAAAAGTACACTTAAACTCTATGAGACATTTATGCTAATCTAATTACTTCAGAAGAAACTTGAAGAGAAAGTTCAAACTACTTTTCATATTAGAATTAAACCCAATCAAAATCATGTCTGAAACAAGGAAAACATTTACTAGAGTCCAAAAGAGTCTTCATGCTACTGGGGAAAGAACGCAGGACCTTGGGAAAGCTAGGTAAGCACTCTACTACTTAGCCATATTCCCCAGCCCTCAGAAATGTAGAAAAAAAGTCTACACCTTCTTAAATAAAGCAAAGACACATCCTACCTTTTCTTAGAATAAAGCAAAGACACATTCTACCTTCAAACCAGTTGGCACTAAACGCAAAAGTGCTTTAGAGAAATGAAACTAATTATTATAGGTATCACTAGGTAATTTCAAAGTAGTACTTTTTACTCATTTAAAATTCACACTACTGAGAAATCTTCGCTTCCATTGTTAGATTTCTTATTGAGAATACTCCAAAAAACTAAAAAATTCCAAATCATAGATATTCTTCTTTTGTTCAACACTTGGCAGTTAACATTATAAATTTAAAATTCTAAAATACTAAATATAATTTACCAATACAAAAAGCAAAATTGAGAACATTAACTTCAAAATTTTAGGATAACAGTATCAAAATAACATGGAAAAAATAAAATATGAATTCAAAAGCCAAATAAAAATAAATAATTATTAGGACCTCTCCAAAAAACGCCTGCAGTAACATTGCAGTTAAGCTTATACAATTTTAAGGCTAAAAAGAATTTTGAAAGTCACCTAATACAACCTGATGATATTTTGAGAAAAAAAAAATTAAAGGGGAAAGCAAACTTGAAAAATAACACAATTCCACTCTGACTAAATTTGATCAAGTACAGATTATTATAGACATTCATACATATATTTCTTTTCAAAATTCTCATTTATTTGAATAAGGAAAACTGACACTATTTCAAATTACCCCACAGTATGAAAAAAATTTGCTTTCTAAAATTGGTATACCACATATTTATTGAAGTTACTCATAATGCAAGGAGCAGGATGAAGAAATCATACAAGTTGAATACAAGCTTAAAATTGTAGAAAATGGAATAAAAATATTTTTTCATTATTAAAAAATATGTACACACTGTCCACATAAGTTCCAAAACATAAATGACTCATGCTTCCTTAAAAACAAACAAAAAAAAAGTATTAATCTGGCTCACTGACATTAAGTGAGGGCCAAACCGCATTTGCCAGCCACAGGTGGTTCAGGGGTGAATGCTAATCATCACTGTCCACACCCACTGTGACCTTGGAGTCTTGGAACTACCAGAACTAGGATCAGTCTCAGAAACAAGCTTTCAGGTGCACCCTTTCTGGGCTGTCAACACACCACGGGTGGAAGGTGCACCCTATTGGAAAGCCTTAGGGGAAATGACTCAGAGGACAAGCCAAGTGGCTTTTGGTCCTGGCCTGTTTTCTATTCTAATGTAACCAACCACCTTGATTGATTCTGCTTTAGGCAGGTGTTTGGACAATCGCCCAGACTTTGCCAGGTATTAAGAATCCCTGCCTTGCCTACTACATTTTCTTCACAACATTGACAAATTTAACCACTTCATTCTTGGAGACCTATTGGTATTCATAAGGAATACTAGACCCCTTTCTCCCTTCCTCCTGCTCAATATTTCTATCGCAGTCTCTTGCTGAAAAAAACCAACATGGTTCTCAGGTTCTGTTTCGAGAGAGGGGGGAAAGATGAATACAACACTCTAATTTAAATAGATCGTGATCTTTCTGTGCATAAACTGGTTATAGTTCCGAAAGGGCACGAAAACGAAGAAAATCAGCACCTTTCAAAAAGCTCCATATACAAAACCCAGGACATAGGCTACTCTGTAAAGGTTAAACGTAAGATCCAGGCAAGTGTGCAAGAAAAGAAAACCGTTTCAAGAACAGAAAAACCAAGGGCCACCTGGCCGTTCGAGGTGTGGGGGCCTGGACTCAAATCTCAAGCGCCAGGAGGGGACAAAGCCGGTAGCTCCCAGGCAGGAGGCTGAGTGCGGGTAAGAGGAGGTGACAACACCTTCATCACTAGCCCAGCGCGGCGCCGCGACATCCGGCGGGCCCTGATTCCCCGCAGCCTCCCCTCCTCCACCTCCTTGACAGGCCCGGCTCTTCGCGAGGCGCGCAGCTGGGCCCCGCAAAGGAAGGGGGTCTGGGCGCTGCGCGTCCGGGGTCTCTCACCGGCACGCGGGGCGCTGCGCAGTTCCGGGCTGCTCCGGGCCGGATAGGCCCGAGGACAGGGTCACGGAGTCCGCAGTCCCAGTTGCTGGGGGTTGGAGCGAACGGCCTAGAGCGTCCGGCAGCAGCCGAGATGGGCGGGGGAGGGGCGGGACAGCGAAGGCCTCAGCTGAGCCAGGAGCTGCGGCAACCTGCTCCTGCGCCTGCGCAGAGCGCGCCCGGAGGGAGGGGGGTGGTGCTCCGGGAACGCGCTTGACAGTGGCGTCCTTTCCCAGGCGACCTGGAGCCCGGAAGCGCGCTGCCGTGAGTGTGGGCTTGCAGACTTTGGTGCCGCTGGGAACCTAGACTTACTGAAGTTTGTCCGCTCTGTTTTTGTGTGACTTAAGAATAAGTCGCTCTTCGTTTACCCGCTCTCAGACCATTTCCTTTTGCAAGGGGGAAAAAATATCCACCGTTTGACTCAGTTTTCAGCTGAGCAGCCTCCTTTCCCAGGCTCTGGCAGTGGTCTCTAAGACTAGGAAAAACTGGTTAGAAGTTTTAACATACACCTCTGGCAGCTAAGAAGTTCCATGTATTGAAACTTCAAGCAAAAAACAGTTCCTTGGTTTTTGCTTGGTCTTGGTTTTGCTTAAGCTGCCTTCCCTTCCACCGCCTTAACTAGATGGTGAGTTACCCCGTGAGATCCCAGCTCCAATCCAGTCACTTATGAACTCATCCTTGAGAGCTGGGTCTAGTCTCGCCAGCGTCTCCAAGCCTAGTTTATCTGATTTAAAAAAGAAGAATAACCATACAAAGATGTTTTGAAGGTTAAGTGAATTGAAGGTTTTGAAGGTTAGTGAATTTCAAAGCAGGCTAGACCACATGTGGAGAGTTTGACATTAGAGAATGGTACCTATTGTTATGGTCACAAATGAATCCTAACCAAGCAATGAAGTGGAATTTTTTTTTTCTCTGTTCTGACAGGATCAGTGTTTGACCAATGGTATATGAAGATAAGTAAGAAGCCAAAATGATATACAATTTAATGTTCAAAATTATGATACCCACGTATGAGATAATGTGAAAAGATAAACTCTTGCAAGTTTTCTGCCAGTCCAGCAATTTGTATCAAGACTACTACAAATTTTCACATCCTTTAGCCCAGCAATTACTCTTCTTGGAATTTATCCTAAATCTAATGAAAACCCTGAAAAGGTTTTTTGTTGTGTGTATTTGTGTATAGTGTGTGTCCATTTAAATATACCAAATGTCTAACAGTAAGTATATTGATTAAGTCATCACTTTCCAACCTCTCATTTAGCCCATAGTTTCCAAAGTGGGGGTGGGGGGCAGGGGTGTCCTCCGTTAAATCGTTTAAAATTTCAAAATAAATAGGTTGGTTAAAACAAATCAGAATGATGAGGGTGAAAAATAAACCCCAGATTTCTTCTATCTGCCTGTGCAGATATGACCCTCTCCTTAGAATAACTGGGTAACTTAAATTAAGGAATAAGCATGCAATGAGATCTTATAAAGTCAGTAAAAATCATATGATATTTCATGTATAGATATTTTCTTACATATGAAGTTTAGTAATTAAATTTAATAAAATCAGTAGCCAACACATAGAATATGAAGTAATATAGGATGTAGAGCATATCAGCATATAAAATATGTTGCTATACATGTATGTGTCTTCCTTGAAATAGAATAAAATGTACAAAATCTTTAAGTCATCTGTAGTGTCAAACTAAGTATGTTTTTTCTTAATACATTGTTGAATTATAAAATGTTTCTGTAATTTAGCATAAATTACTTTTCAATTAAAAAACAAATCTCTGTTTAAAAAAATCCTAAAGAAGTAGCCAGTATTCTCTCAATTGCCTTTATCATTTAAATTAAACCACATTCACCACACTACAGGATCATTCCTTTTTATTGGAATTCACATAGTAGTGAATGTTTCTAAGAAAAAAATCTCTGTTAAGAACCAGTTTAGGGGCTGGGGATGTGGCTCAAGCAGTAGCGCGCATGCATGCGGCCAGGGTTCGATCCCCAGCACCACGTACAAACAAAGCTGTGTGTCTGCCGAAAACTAAAAAATAAATATTAAAAAATTCTCTCTCTCAAAAAACAACAACAACAACAACAACAACAACAAAAAAAAAAACCAGAACCAGTTTAGTGGCATGGTTAGAAACTTGCCTTAGGAGCCAGATTGCCTGAGGATAAGCCAAGCCCCATAGGAATACACAAAGTCTGTGTAGGGGTGGGCAAAATACTTACCTAACTCTTTATATCTGTTTTTTTTTAAATTATAAACTATAAAATGATGATAGCAATGATGCCTATCTCAAAGGGTTTTATCTAGAGACTGATAGCTGAAGGACACTCAGTAAATATAAGATATTATGACAGATTGAGTACTTGGTTCATTTGTCCCCTACTTTAATTTTTTGTTATGAAGATACATTTTGAAAGGAAATTTTTCTGAAAAGCTTCCAGTTATTTGCTTAATGATTTCCTGAATTCTGAGATATCTACCAGTCTATGTGCTATCAGATATTAAGGGCAGTGATTTTAACAGTCCAGGATAACTTGAATAGAAGACTATTCTTCCTCAACGTCTGCTTATATTCAGCATGATGCTGAAGCTAAGGGATTTCTTCTTGATAAATTAAGCCTTGGAACTTAGCCTTGTCTTTTCCCAATCCTTTCTGTAATCTCTTTTAATGGTGAATTACCCAAATCCCAATAGTAGTCAGCCATGTTGCAAAAATGACTTTCTTAGAAAATTGCTATTAGAGTTATAAGCAGACATGCAATTCATGATCATTTCACTCTTAATTATTCTGAAGTATACAGTTTGTCAGGTGTTGATGACAGCCCTACGCCTTTCACTTTCAGGCTGGCTAGGCTACATTACAGTTGTTAAATTAGTTTTGGTCACAAATCTCTTTTAAAGGGTTGGAAATTTTCTAGCTCGACGTTTGGGGAGTGCTCTGTAGACACATAGCAAAACTGTTATTTCCTTTAGCCATTTGGTCTACATTCACTTGTGGTGAAATCCTGGTTTTATTGATACAACCTGGTCATTCCCTCTCTTTTAAAAGCCTGTGGCTGGTTTGAAATTCTGTAGGTAACTCATCTCTCAGAACCTCTCAACTTCTGTCTCTGACTTCTTTTTTTGAGGCAGGATCTTCTGTACTTCCATGTCATCCATGTTGCTTCAGACTTACTTAAGGCTTGGCCCTCTTCATGTATTAAAATTTCTTTCCTTAATATGAATTTAAAACTAGTAACTTTAAATTCATTTTCACCTTTTATAGAGTCTCTGTTATAACCATAATCTCTAATGAGAATAATTTTAAAAGTTTCATGTTTACTGAATGAATGAATTTATTGTGTAGGCATTGCATGAAGTGTTTTACGTCCTCTTAATTTTTATAGAAATATTATGGATTAGATTTGATTATCATCTCACATCTCTTTTTAAGCAGAGAAAATACAGGATTCAAGGTACTGTTTGCTGTGGTCACATAGCCAGAAGAGTAGAAGTATTCTGATTGTAAAGCCTGAGCTATTAGCCACTGTGGCATAAATATCTGTATTTATTTGAGGAGGGTGGATTTTACCAAAACAAAACAAAAACAACAACAACAACAACAACAAAAAAAAACTAACTGACCACTGAAATATGTATGACAATATAAAATTAAATCTTAAACTTTATAATAAAATTTTTCAAGGGAATAAAAATTGCTACGGACTTTTATGGAAGAGAATATCATAGACGGCAAGAATAATGTTTTAAAAGCTTCTTAGAGAGGATCTTAAGCAAACATGCTCACAGATGTTCTTTCCCAATACTAGTGACCTTATTATTCTTTATATTTTAAAATTCTTAGCCTAATAGTTCACATATAATACAACCTTGGGTTATTGTCTTAAGAGAGAATAGGACCTTTAAAATTACAGTTTATTCAAAATATATTTCAGAGCAATGGTTGTTAAATTAGTTTTAGGTCACAAATCTCTTTTAATAATCTAAAAGAAAATATGGGCTTCCTCCTTATAAGAAAACAAAAAGAGCCCTGACTGCCCTCCTTAAAAAAAAAAATAGTATACATCATATATGTTTCAGAGTATTCACAGATTCCCTTGAAGTCATCTATGAACACAACATTAAAAACCCTGGCTGTAAATTAGGTAAGGATCAATGTGGCAAGGAAATAGATTACAAAACCCAAGTTGATAAAGAAACTATATTTCGACTTTGATTATTATGACAATAATATTGTTTTTGCTAGCCATTGTTTCTCCTCATTTTCAAACATGGCTTTAGAAGCAATAATTATAAAGTAGAGCTAAGGATGGGGATATAGTTCAGTGACAGAGTGCTTGTCTAGCATGCATGAGGACCTGGTTTGATCTCTAGTACCATCAACAAACAAACAACAACAACAAAAACAGAGCTAGAGAGGAATTAAAATACAGATTGCAGAATCTTCTCTCTCTACCCCATCTACTCACAGTACTGAGTAGATGGGAAGGGAGGGGAGGGGGGGATAGTAGAGGATAGGAAAGGTAGCAGAATACAACAGTTACTAATATGGCATTATGTAAAAATGTGGATGTGTAACCGATGTGATTCTGCAATCTGTATTTGGGGTAAAAATGGGAGTTCATAACCCACTTGAATCTAATGTATGAAATATGATATGTCAAGAGTTTTGTAATGTTTTGAACAACCAATTTAAAAAAAAAAGAATCAACTGTGGCATAGCACTATCAGGTAATTCCATATTTTTTTCAGAAACTCCTGAGTGAATTCATCTTTCTCTTTCTGCAGTTTTTTCATTTCTTCTCTTTAAATTGCAGTTTAATGTCAAAAGAATAAATAGGACATAGCTGGACACCCTTGGTTCTGACTTAGGGTTTCATCAAAGTTGCCTTAATAGGCACTAGTAGGAGGAAGAAGTGGGGATCTAAATGGTTTCAAACTTAAACATATTATCATTTAAAAAATTTCCGTACCCTAATTACTTATTTCCTAAATGTATAAAAACTCATTTAAGTGAAGTAATGTTTTAAATTTTAAGTCTCAAGTAATCTTCTGTAGATTTCATCATTTCTGCCCCTAAATCTCCCAAGCTCAAAATAATGTTTTGTAAACATCTATTTAGATCCTATAGCTAAATAAATTTGTTTTTTTCTCATTAAATATTAGATCTGAAATTGGAATTAGAGGTAGGAGAGAAACTTAAAAATGTCTGAGTGGGGATTCTCCATCTGTAGTTTCTCAGTGTGTATGCCTAACAGATTAGTATCAAAGGCTTGTAGATAATAATTAAGTAATTTAAGTACAAACAGGGAAACAACTTGAATCTGAATATCAGACATTACTTCTTATTAAAGTTCAATGTTTTCTGCTGAGTTATATTGTAGCAGTCTTCTCTGTCCTGAGCCTAGTGTGCCACTAACTTACGAGGGCTCATTCTGATTCTTTCCCTTACATTTTTATGAGTCCTGGAGCTCAGATTTTCCTTTTCTCAAGCTTCTCAGGGGAAAAACAAACAACAACAACAAAAACAGTTTGGCTCTACGTTCATGTCTTCTTCTCTCTTATAATATCAGCATGGATAAGCCCCTTTGTATTGGTTCCCAAACACAGCATTATCCTTCTAACACTTTAAAATTCAGTGACATCTATTATTAAAAATTGGGCATAGTTTCTTATTTTACTCCTCTGTTCAAAATAGAATAACAAAAACATAAAATTCTAACCTATGAATAAAGAAAATCTTCCTCTGAAATGACAGTTAACAGATCAGACAGTAGACAAAAGTGTCATTCTTTATGCCAGTGCTGTCCAACAAAAATATAATTTATCAACAGATGCAAGCCAGGATGAGGATATAGCTCAATGGTAAAGTGCTTGGCTCGCGTGTTCAAGGCCCTGGGTTCAATCTCCAGTACTATAAAATAAACTAAAAATCAAACACCAAAATAAAAGTCAAGTAATGTAGGTAATTTAAAATTTTTCTAGTAGCCATGTTTGCAAAAATAAAAAGAACTGGATGAAATTAATAACTCAGTATGTCCAAGTGTTATAATTCCAACTACATGTCAATATAAAAAATATATTAAAAATTATTAAATGTATAACTATAAAATTATAAAATTTTATTTCCCTTTATTTAGTGAGGTTATCAG